GGAGGGAGGGAGGGAGGGAGGGAGGGAGGAAGGAAGGAAGGAAGGAAGGAAGGAAGGAAGGAAGGAAGGAAGGAAGGAAGGAAGGAAGGAAAGGAGACATGTCAGGGAGTTATCAAATAGTTTTAGATTTTAGACTTTCTCTTGTCAGTATAAATTCATAAACTATTTTTGTTTCTTTTTCTTCTGCGGCGTTGTTGATGTTTAAGATAAGGGCTCACTGTGTAGCCTCGGCTTGCCTGGAACTCGCTATGTAGAACTGACCAGACCTGAACTCACAGAGATGGCTCAGGGGAACTGGGATTAAAAGTCAGCATGCCCAGCCACAAGAGACTTTAAATGGGGATGAAAAGGTAGGATGGTGTTAAGTTTCAAATCCAGGACAAAGGGAAGCTGGTCTCCAGGGTCTCTCAGCATCCCTCAGTCCCTATCTGTTACAGGGTAGGGTTGACATACCCCAGCCCTCTACTCTAAACTCACCAACCTAGGGGCTGAGCTGCCCCCTCCCCCCGAGGTTCTTCTCTATATAGACATTTTAGTTAGCTGCCCTTTCTGTCCTTTGACCTCCAGGCTGCTGTACTTGGGTCCCCCCTCTATCCTCTCTCTTCCCCTCCCACTCCTTCAAGGCTCAGGGTCATAGTCACTCTGGACTCTTCCAGATGTGTCCACCTCTGACTATGATCTCCCTCTCATCCATAATAAATTTTCTCCTCCACCATGCCCAGGAGACGTCATGACCTTTCCTTTCCTTTTTATTTCTTTTTTTCCCCCACTCAGATGGAAACAGTACTTTGGGAAGACGGATCTTATGATGTTTGCAGACTGGAGGTCCTACTATTTCTTGGGGTCTTTAGAATTGATTTTGGAGCTACTCCCCTAGAACTCTAGGATGACCATCATGGAAATGATATACCACGAAACTGGCACGAGTCTAGGATACAGAAGATATCGAAATCTCAGTGGTGTCCTATGGAGACAACTGAGAGGGTGCAGGAAAGAATGCAAACAGAAGATATTGCAGTTAACCAAGTGGGTGCTGAGTCAAGCCAGGAAGAACAAAACAGGAAGCCAGAAAGAAAGTCAATAAAGGAGCAGAAAGAAGACAGAATCTATGAACCCTGTTAGAGACAGGAAATATGGTGGCAGAAGGATGGTGCTGTGAAGCTCAGTGACGAGGACAAAGGGACAAAATTAGACTCATAAGAAATGTGCAAAACCAAACCTGACATTCAGACCCACCACTTAACTTCCTGAAATCCAGCTCAGCACACCTGAGAGATTCTACTCTTCCTGCATCTTTCTGATGTTCTACCTCCAGACATTTATTAGTTGTGTCCCTGTCGATTAGCCGGTAATGGTAAGTGTTCCCTATATGAGGTGTATGTGGGTGTGTGTGAGTGGGTGTGGGTGTGTAGGTATGAGTGTGTGAGTGTATATGTGTGTGGGGGGGGTTATATGTGTGTATGTGAGTCTGGGGTGTGAGGAAGTGTGTATGTGGGTATGGGTGTGTATGTATGTATGGGTGGGTGTATATAAAAGTGTGTGTATGTGGTTGGGTGGGTGTAGGTATGTGTGTGTGTGTGTGAGAGAGAGAGAGAGAGTATGTTTATGTGCATATGTCGGTATGGGTATGTGTATGTATGTCTGTGTATGTGTGGGTGTGTGTGAGTGTGCATGGGTGTGTGAGTGTGTATATGTGTGGTTGGGTGAGTGTGAATACGTGTGTGTGTGAGTGTGTATGGTTGGATGAGTATGAGTGCGTATATGTATGTGAGTGTATGTATGCATGTATGTGGGGCTGGGTATGTGTGTGTTTGTGTAGGTGTGGGTACGTGTCTGTGAGAGTATATGTATGTATGTGTGTGTGAGTGTGTGAATGTGTGTATGTGTGTGTATGAGTATATGTGGTTGGGCAGGTGTGGGTATGCATGTATGTGTGACTGTGTGGATGTGTGGATGTGGATATGTGTGGATGTGTGGGTGTGTTTGTGGGTGTGTTTGTGGGTGTGTGTTTGTGTATTTTCAGTGCATTTCCTGATAAACGATAGGTGCACAGTTAATGTTCATTCAACCATACACAGCTTTCTGCTAAAAAAAAAAAAAAAGTGGATTTAACAGTCAACAGTCTCAAAATACTAATACCCCAATTCTTGTACATCTCCCTGGGTCAGTCAGTCATTTAGCATATTTGCTGCTTAAGAACCGTGATCTGGCTTTAACCTCGGTGCCTTGCAGATAATCATGGCAAGTGTTTCTGTTAGACATTTACAGGCTCCAAGCCTGAACCGAACAGTGAGCGAGCAGAGGGCGTGGCTAGAGCAGGCGCTGGGTCCTTGGGCTGCTGAGAAAGCCTAGAATACTGCCTGATGCCGGTCAGTTATAGACCTCTGCAAGAAGCAGAAAATGCCCATCTACTGCCAGATAACAGCGGACAACCCTGACTCTCTCAAGCCTAAAAGTCCTTATCCCTCACACTCTATAAAGGCTTCTTAAAGAAGTGTATTTGGAGCTGCGTCCATGTTCCTACTTGGAGTGTGTGTTTTCTATTTACTTGTTTTTATCATGCAGAAGACAGAAACTAAGAACTTGAAAATGAAGGTCAGAGAGAATTTTTGTGTGTGTGAAGTCAGATTTAAGTGCACAATGTGGACTTTTGAAATCATTTTATTGTTTTATGTGTAGGAGCATTTTTTGTATTATGCAGTACTCAAAGATGCCAAAAAAAAATAGATCCCTTGGGACAAGAGTTAGTTACAAACAGTTACGAGCTGTCATCTTGGTGCTAGAAATCAAACCCAGGTCCTCTAGAGGAACAGCCAATGTTTTTAACCCTGAGCCATCTCTTTAGCACCAGTGTAAATTTTTTTTTGATCAGTTTCTCTCTAAGAATAAAAATATACCTTCTAGTAGGACAATACACATTGTTGTGTTGTCTGTAAAACACACGGGTATGTTCATTCATCCTTATAGACACGGTCGCATATTTACGCTTAAGAAATAGGGAAGCATCTCAGAGCATAAATGCAGAATCACTCCTAAGTAAGAACTCAAGAGAATCAAAAAGCATTCACAGAAAAAGTGTGAGTACATACGTTCATAGCAGCCAAAAGCGGAGACAATCCAAATGCCTCTACCTGATGGTTGGGTGAAGGCGTTATATCAAGGCATAGTGTATAGTGTATACCACGGCAGAAGGTGTAGTGTACAGATCCGTTCATATAAAACTTTCAGAGTAAGCAAAGCCATAGTGACAGAAAGGGGACCCGGGATTGCATGGAGCCAAAGGTTGGGAACTGAATGCCTGAGTGTAACAACAGGGTTTCTTAAGTGGGTGATAAAAATATTCTGAAATTAATCATGGAGGTGGCTACATAATTTTGTGAATATGCCAAAAATTAATAAGTTATGCCTATTACGTGGTTAATTCACATAGCATATGAATGACATCTTACTATAGGTTTTTAACCACACTAAAACATTTCCAGCTTGAGGTGAAAATAAAAACCCCTTTATGCTTCTTTTAAACACATCATTTTGGTACCAGTTTTGGAAAAGAAGATACACCATATATATAAATTAGCATCCTTACCTTGTTGTCTCGATGGGACAGATAGGCATGAACATGCTCAAACATTAACAACCTTTCGTGCAGTCATAAGTAAGGGACATTCAGTGACATTCTCAGAAAGAAGGCACAGGAAAAGAGTACTCACTGGAAGGCCCCTGGGTCCCCGAGGTCCAACCTCTCCCGGAGGCCCTTGTTGGCCCTGTGGAAAGGAAAGCAGACAGAGAAACAATTTGCCAGCGATTCCTGATAGCTATCGATCTTAACTGAAAGAAAAGCATAAACATAGTCTTACTGGTTTTCCTGAATTTCCCAACTGACCAGGCTTCCCTGGAGCACCCGTGTTACCCTAAAGACAAAAGGCAACATTTAGAGTAATTCAGACAGTGGGTATAGTCATCAACTTTCCTTACCCACACCAGGAATTGCTTCTAGTTAAATAGCATTCATCTCCTGGCTGCACAGTGAGGATCTGGGAAAATACAGCATTTCTTTCTTATATATGTGTTTGTGTGCACATGTGATCTCATGTTCACGTGTACGTGTATGTATAGGTATATGTGTGGATGTGAATGCCCCTGCATGTGTGTGAAGGCCAGAGTTTATCCTTCCACATTTGTACTTACTGAGACAGAGTATCTCATTGGCCTGGAATTTGTCAAACTCATCCTGTAGGCTAAGCTGCTGTTCACTGAAGTGAAGGCATCCTTCTAGGATTGTAAGCGCACACTACTATACCTGGCCTTTTTACAGAGATTCTAGAGATCCATTTTCCAGACTGCAGCACCTCCCCAGCCTCAAGTTCTACTTTATCAAGTTTATTCTAAAGGAAAGTCCGTGTTTGGCTTTTTTCTTTCATCTGTTGTTTTAAATGACTTGCTCTTTAATACTCTATAGAACATAACATGACATAAATTCTATAGCTTAATCATACCTTCCTTATTTAAATAGTCAGAAGCCATAAAGCTGTCTATCTTATATTAGCAAAAAATGACAATTTCAGGAAGAAAGTCTCATCAGCCATTTTCCACAGCTGGGAAAAAGATCAGCACATGGACACTTTAAAGGTTTTACACTCTGATTTTTCCCTGGACTCAAATATAAAATAAAATCCCAGGCTGGTTATATTAAAAATTATAACAAAAATAAACTTACAACGGCAGAAAGCAAAATGTTAGCTGCAAGTTCGATTTGATTTTTACCTTTTCGCCGGCAACACCTTTTGCACCAGGGATTCCAGGCACACCCTAAAAGAATACACACGGATTCTGCGTTTAATCGCCTCATCCAAGGAGCCAACAAATGCCAAACCCACCATCTGAGAAGAGGCAGACGGGATCATGGCAACCTCGAAGGCAGCCTGCAAAGCTGCTGCTGCCTTCCCAAATCCGTCACTAAGGCAGCTGCACATGGTGTGTAGCGTGAGGCTTTCCCGTGCCTTGTTAAGCTTGTTAAGCCTGAACAACCTCAAAGAAAATCTCTAAGCTAAAGTGACTTTTGGAATGACCTTCAGCCCCATCTTCACATCAACAGACCATCTTTAGGACAGGACAGATGCTATAGGAACTTAACATTATTTCTTGTACAGAATAATCAAATCCTCATTTTGCTCATGTTGGTATTGGGAGTTCATATATCCCTGGCAGCTTGCAAAATGCCAGATGCCATAACAGATTGGGAGCCAGTATTTGATGCTACCAAGTAGCCTTTGTTAACTAGAAAGATTTTCTTTCAAAGACTCAAACACACAAACTCAAAAACACAAATTGCATATGAATTTTCAGCCATACATCAGTAGGGAATACCGATTTCGATGTTTCAACTATTTAACTATCCTATAACCAAGAGTGGTAACCTTTCTCATGCTGTTCCTGAGAATTCTTTCACTCTCCTATCTCAGCTTTGCTAATAAGAACTCCATGTCTGGCTAAAAGTAAGACAAGAGCCAGAGCAGGGTTGTGAGCCATCATGTGGGTGCTGGAAATTGAACTATAGAAGAGCAGTCAATGCTCTTAACTGCTGAGCCATCTCTCTAGCACCTGCTCTGAACTATTTAAGGAAGATAATAGAAAAGGCAGACCCAAACAATAAAGTTAATAGTGCATAAGCAGAATGTACTGTTCATTTTATGCTTCTTGGGTAAATGACCAGCTAACTAATCACAGGGGGAAATTTTTTTAAAAAATCATTAAAATAAAAGAACTAAAGAGAGAGAGAGAGAGAGAGAGAGAGAGAAACTATCATATTTTCCTTGGAATTTAACAAATTGCATAATGTATCTATCCCTCCAAATTCATCTTTGATTTTGTCACACACATTAAACATGAACATGTTAGAAACAAAAGATTAGCACGTACTGGTAAACCCTGCAATCCCACATCACCGGGAGGTCCAGGCTTCCCTGCTTCACCCTGAAAGCAAGTTCATAATCACACAATTACACCTTTATGAACTGGTGTGTTCTTCTAAGAACAAGGACTACATGCATTTTAGGTAAAATATTTTTCCAGAAGTTAACCTTAGGCACATTTTCCAATTACTTAAGTCAGGGTTGGTGGTGGGTAGGACAAAGGACACACATTCAAACACAGAATTTCCTTCAGCCTACACTCGTCAATGGGACTATTTCACTGAGTTCCTAAACAAAGCAAATAAGTATGCTATTTTAAAACGAATTTTTAGTTGACACTTCAGTTTAAAATTGAAAGAGAGAGAGAGAAATTCGGCAGAGCTCTCTTAGCAAACCTGGTAGTGTTATAAAGGGAATGCCAAGCATAGTTATCCAGGGCAGAGAGATCCCCATTCATGCGAAAACCAGCCCACAGATCTACCTTTGTTCCGGGCATTCCTGGTATTCCGTCTCGACCATCGACACCTGGCAAGCCCTATAAGGACACACAAAGAACACACTGTGTCTTAGAAAATGTCGTAGTCTTCTTATGTTATTTCTTGAAGTTTCACTGCAAGTCAGTAATTATTCTGGGAACTAACTATATCTGACACCTACAGCTCGGGACATTACCGTGTCTCCTTTTGGCCCAGGGGATCCAGGAATTCCTCGGGAACCTTGAATGCCCTGTAGGGCAGGAGAGATAAAAGAAATAAGACATCTTCAATGATTACAATACCTAGGCCATGCCAAATATGCAAAACTAACAGATAACTCAGAAGAGCAGAATGCATTGCATGGATTTGGACTAAGTTTGTACTCACTCTGTCTCCCTTAGGACCTGTTTCTCCTGGAGGTCCTCGCTGTCCTTGATCACCCTGTACAAATGCAGAAGTTCCCAATGTGAACAAAAGTTACCTACTTTGGAGTGTCTTAAGGTTATGAAGCATCCTCCACATTGAAGATTGCTAACTTGTTTTTTTTTTTAATGTGTATGGAAGTTTTGCCATGTATGTCTATACACCACATGTGTGCCTGGTGTCTCAGAGGCCAGAAGCTTGCATCAGATCTCTTAGAACTGGTGTTAGAGATGGTTGTGAGTTGTCGTATGGTGTTGGGAGTGAACCAGTGTTCTAAACCACCAAGCCACCTCTCTGGATGCTGTTACTATTGCTCTTCGTCTACAGTAACTCTCTGAAAAATGCTCAGTTAAAAAAAAAAGCACATCTTTTAAAAATTGTAGTCTTGATCACTGCTATTGTCATAGGGATAACTGAGGTTGAGTGTCTTCTGTATTCATTTTAGATACATAATGGTTCTGTGCTATCTTGCTATACATGCGAAGCAAGCAACAACATTGCGAAGTGTATCCACATGTAAGCTACTCTCATTGACAATTATGGTAGGCTGAGGCGTGGATTAGACACCTGTATTTTTCTCTTTACTCTTATTTCCCACTTCAATAGCAATAGTTTCTGTAAAAATTATCCACCTCATGATACTTGCTATATATGGCAATAGACGAGATGTCTTTCTTAAAATATGTTTTTTTGTTAATTGTTTTGGCCAAGCTTAAGCTGGCTCTCTGTAGCTATTTCTCAGTTTAGACTGCTCAGTGAAGTGTTAGACATCATCTGTAACACATTTCTACTCGATCCATCCAGTTTCATCTTCTCATACCAAACCTTCCATCCAGACAGTGCGAACCCTGTGATAGCACAAATAATTGTAAGCACTGACAGCACCCCCTGCACTTTTTGTCCCTTCCCAGAAGGGCTTCCCAGGGCAACCTTCCTCTGTGGATCACCTCCATCACTACTCAAGCATTTGCTCTTACAGCTCATCAATGAGTTATGTCCTGTCTCCTCCATCGGACCTTGATAGTGAAAAATCCTGCTTTACTTTGTGTAAATTTTTTGTGGTATATATGAGTCACAATAAATGTTTTTAAATCTGTGTATCTTCAGAGTAGTGTGAGACAGTCTAGATAATAGCACACGCTGACTCGGTAGTCAACGTGTGGAACAATGAGATCAGAAACCATCAAGGAGGAAAAGCTAGAATTGTGCAGGAACCGGAAACATGATTGTCACTGTCCATCAAAGTATTCTAACAACCAAAGCAAAGGAAAACACAACAAGTATAAACAGGTAACCCCAGAGCTTAGCCCCTAAAACAATTCAAGGAAATCATTCTCTGAACCCAAGAAAAAAGACTGTAATTTTTGGATTGATATGAAAATTGTTGCCCATTTTTCTATTAGTTCATTGGCTCTAGGCGATCAGTCTAAAACGATGTCCCCAGACACCCTCCCCCTACCTTTTCTAAGGTCAGGGTCTCACTGAGTTGGTCAGACTAGCCTTGAGCTCACCCTATAGTCCAAGCATGCCTTGAATGTGGACTTCTACCTCAACCTTTTGAATAGCTGTAATTAGGGCCTACACTAGCAGACCTGGCTTCTATTTTTCTCATTTTAATTACTTACATGTATAAACTACTTGTATATTATACAGATAGCATGTTTCTTAATCTGTGGAGAAACGTTAGGAATGTGTATTTTATGATAGTGTTCGCTGTAATCTCAGCATTTGGAAGGCTGAGACCGGATGAGTACTGCAAGCCTGAGGACAGCCAGAGTTGCATAGCAAGATGATATATCAATATAAAGGAGAGGAAATCAGGGGTCAGGGGAGAAGAGACGGGATTAGAGGAGCGGGGATGGAAAAGTATCATTGCTTTTAAAAAGTCACTGGTTTGGGTTTTTTTTTGATGCTGTTTTATTTGTATTTTGTTGTTTGTTTATTTGTTTGTAAAAGAAAAACTACTTACAGCTGCACCTGGAATGCCCTGAGGTCCAGGCTCTCCATCAAATCCCCGAGCACCCTGAAAAAAAAAAAAGCGAGACAGAGAAATAAAATTCAGATCAGTCACACATGCCACAGGGCATCTTCGTCTTCCTAAAGTATACCAGCCAGAATAAAAGGAGGCTTTATATGTTAATACACGCTGTATTTGTGAATGAACATGGAAGAATAAGCCATTAGACACTCCACACATGAAACCACTAGTGTTAGCTGTCGTGCTAACAGCACTCAGGACTCACAGTCCTTGAGAAGACTGGATATTTTAAGTTAACGGTGGATCTATTCCCAACTGCTGACAGGAGCTGAAAACTGGGACTTATTAGAGGACTTAGCAGGTCTTCTATTGCATAAGATTTAGTGGTCAGTCTCCAAGAGTTTCAGGATACCTGTGGGAATTTATTAATGCTAGAGGGGTGAGAGCCTCCGGGTGAGTGTGAATTTAGCTTCACTGGATTCTACAGTGCCACGGATACGAGAAGGACTTCTATGTCACTAGAAACCACCACCCAGCCCCGGATCTAAAAATAAAAGTCACATGACTATGTGATTCGGAAGAGGGAATTATTAAGACCGTTAGAAGAATCTAACATATATTCATAAATTATATTCACTTTGTAAATAGTAATCAACCTACTTTCTCCAGATAGATCCAACTTGCAACATGATAGCAAAGGAACTAGCTGGATCAGTGGTTGTCAATCTTCTTAATGCTGCAACCCTTTAACACATGTCCTCATGTTGTGCTGACGTGGAACAATAAAATGATCTCATTGTTACTTCATTACTGTCATTTTGCTACTGTTGGAAATCACAGTGCAAATATCTGAAATGCAGGATTTATTTTCACTGTTACAAACTGACCCAAAGGGGTTATGACCTGCAGGTTGGGAATGACTGGTCTAAGTGTTTTTGGTTTTGTTGTTTCAAATCTAATCATCTGGAAATGATCTCTGCCTCAGCCACAGAATAGACACCATCTTATTTTCTTCATTAGAATCAAAAGATGGTTTTGTTTTAAAAACAAAACTACCATGGCTTTTTGTGCTCACTACAAAGTGTCCTCAACAAAACACACAGGCTCCATCTTGAACTGTTCTTCTCTACGAAGTAAATAAGAAAGCACAAGGATACGGAGGTGATCAAACCAAGTCGAAAGCAGCCGAAGAACATCAGATGAATGTCAGTCCAGCCGAAGCAGGAAGACCTCACAGATAATAACAATGAAAACCTAGAAATCCTTTGATAGAAAGTTCAGACGCTGGTGGACTCAAAGAGAAAAGAAAACACTACGGAAGCAGAGGGACCATGGAGCCCTGCAATTCTTTGATCCCTAAAAACAAGAACAGAGCAGAGACATCCTCCATTCACCAAAAAAGAAAGGATTTCGAAGACCTGAAACAGACCTTGAATTCCTCATTCACCCTGCATTGTGAGAGAGTGCGCCTCAGCCTTTGCCTGATAGAAATGACTTTGATGCACTCTGGCTCATGAGAGAGCTCTCTCTACCTTATTGCAGTCCAGCATGTGCTCAGACCAGAAGTGCTGTTACTAGGTAACCACTCCACATCTCTGTTCACAAGAGGAGCTGCCTTTTTTTTTTTTTTTAAAAAAAGCAATTTGACAGAAATGAAGAGAAATGAAAATTTTTGAAAACTATCAAATAGAGAAATATCTCAAATAAAGAACACATCAAGAACAGTAATTTGGGTTTCAAGGAGAGGTCGTCTATTTTATGGAGGAAAATGATAACCTGGGTGTCTGCTGCACTGAAATAAATGAGCTTTATTACTTAGTAACCAAGAGTAACATAGAATGACACTTAAAGTGGGATGGATGTAAAAATATACGGGACTTCAGTGTGAGTTTTTTTTTTTTTTAGTGGTTGTTTGTTTGTTTGTTTGTTTTCAGAAATACCTTAGAGGAAATGGAAAAAGAAAATAGGTAGAAAAATTTCTAGAAGAGATTGAGTGTGAGAAGAGAGATAGAAGAAACTGTGGTAGACAAACCAGGCCCACAAGTCACAGAATGTGTAGCTCTTCCAACAGGGCCTTAGGTCTACTGTATCAACAATGAAAACTTACTGTTACTTAATTGTAACTAAAGATCACTGTGCTTGCTGTGTGGAACTGACACAAAGTAGCAAAGCTAGCTCTGAAGAGAACAAAGCCAGGGTCCAAATTGCTGATGGGCAAAAATGTTTAAACAGTCCGTAATTGTAACATTCATAAACTGGCTTTCTAAATAAACTTTCTAAAAAATGGTGACAATTTTTTTGCTCCAACACTAGACACAATCCCCTCACCACACATGTGCCACACGCATGCACACACACACACACACATGCACACACACTCACAAAGCAATATCGCTGAGAGGACCGTGAATGGTTTCCACTGTTTTTCCTTAGAATAGGCACTCCACCAAGCATCACGTGTCTTCGTCCTTGACCATCGACTGCACCTCATCCTCATGACCTTCCGAAATCAGCTTTGCCATGGGGTCTCCCAGATGTCACATCAAGATTAAGCCCCTGTTTTGCACGGAGATTCTTTGTCCTGCCTGACTGCAGCTGTGTGTCTTTCTTGATTGTGTTATAGTCGACTATTTACTAACCTGCCTTCCAAGGAAGAAACACTCTTAATGTAAACTTGATCCTGAGCTTGCAGACTCCTTGCATCGGAAAAGCCAGGAAAACCTGACTTCTAAAAGTAGTCAAGGACAGGCTAGTGACTGTGGGCCACAACTGTACCGATAAAGGCAGAGCGAATAACAGGGTCCCAGGATCTTAGATACAATGTTTTCTCTCACCTCTATCTTTCCATCTCTGCTTGTCTTTGCCTTGCTGGACAAGAAGCTCTGCCAGTATTGTGTCAGGGTATGAGTACTAGCTACAAGTACTGACAACGCTCAAATATTATACCCCCACTTACTCTAATTTACCTAAGACAGTACTCTCCTCTGCCCATGAATTCTACACCATGAATTCCACCAAAAATATTTGGGGTGGGGGGAATGCCTCTGTAGTTAACAATTACACATAGTTTTCTTGTCATTGTCAATATTTACAAAATATGCTTTGTAAAGAATGACAAAAACAAATAAACATATAGATTATAAACTAACAAGCGACAGTAATGGAGGTAAGACCACTTTTATTATACTATGACTTTATCATAAATGTCTCACCTTTTCTCCTTTGTCTCCAACTATGCCAGTGATGCCTCTCAGACCTTGAGCTCCCTGGAAAAGTACAAAGAGAGGAGGGGTTGTAAATGGTTTCAGGGAAAGCACACATTTCTTAAAAGTCTTTTTATAGATATTAATCCAGAAGAAGTGTGTCATGATAATGAAAGGAGACACCAGGAAATGTCCATAGCCCGGGGGCAAATACTTCTGGTTTGCAAAGAAAAGTCCAAATAAAATTCTAATGCTCAAAACCCTTTGATAAAAGTCTACACAACTCTATGCCAATTGAGTTGACACAATTTTAGATAGCCAAAATGGTAAATAGGAACAACTGAGACAATTTTTTGACATTTTTAACTCACTGCCAGAACCCAAACTACCATCTCCACCCCCTTTGAGGTATGTCAGGGGGTAACATTGTTGTAACCCTTAAAATAATAGCTACCTACAAATCTATACCATCAAAGGAAAGCAGTTCCGGTCGAACCCATAAACATTTATATGGCAGAAATAGAGCCTGGCTGTCCATCCACCACTTGTCACTGGGATTTATTATGCTATCCCTATGGTGCTCTGGATTCTGACCTGATGAATTAAGAACTCATCACTCACACAGGAGTGAATAAGCACAAACATGAGGAGTAGCATGGGTTTCTGTATCTCTTTCAGTATTGAAATGTTGCTAGTCCCGTGGAGGAGAATTTTTTCATGAACTGCCTGGTAAAGGGTGCTTTCTGGAGTACGGCTATGAGTGGGTGCTTCATGGGCAGTTAGCTTCTATTAGACATCTGTCAACTTTCAAAAATGGCTTAACATAAAGGTGCTTTAGATTGGTTATAGTGTTCATCTTCATGCTTGCAAAAGATGAAATAGTTCCAGGACCCATCTTCCTTTATTTAATTCAGTCACAAATTCTCTGTAGGTCAATCGGAAATGGTCTGAAATTCCCAAGTACAGTATGAGCCAGCCTAGATTAACAACCTAGCTTTTCAAGCAAAATATGGCCATATTGGATTAAGCCACTTTGCTTATGTACCTAACTTGCTGGCTCTGTAGGTAATTCCTGTATACACAATAAAATAATGAAAAGTACTGGTAATACAGGAATTCCATGAATAAGTTCTTAGAATGACTACTCTTTGTACAAATATATAATAGAAACTTTATTTTTATAAATCTATATGCTGCTTGTGCTTTTATATTAACATGTAAAAAAATGTGAATTTTTCAGAAACATTTGGACATATCTCCTCCCAAGCAACAGGATGTCAGCAGACACTGACAGCAACCTTCAGTGGACCCCTTGAGCTACACAACATAATTTTTGAGAATGGATTGCTTTGAAAATATATAAATCCACACCTAATTTTCATCATATCTAACAAATCAAAAGCATATAAACTACACTACTGGGTACGATACCCCATGAAATAAGAGTCCAGCTCCTTAATGCCTCTAGCAAAGGCTCAGGGAAGGTAAGATTCTGGAGAAGATAATTGGACTCTTCCACAAAGTCCTCTTGAAGTTTCATATGGCCCAGAAGAAGAAACCATTTCTAGAGGCTCATAACCATGCCTTTTAGACTTAAACTCTGGGTAAATACTGAGTTGTGGAGCCCCACTAACTCCTCTTAAAGACTAGTCCTGGGAGCTGGAGTGGTTAAGAGCACTGGCTTCTCTTGCAGAGGACCTGAGTCCAGTTCTCAGCACCCACACGTGATACCTCACAACTGTCTATAACTCAAATTCTAAGGAGTCTTCTGGCATCTGCAAGCCATTGCATGCACATGGTACCATACACACATGCAGACAAAATACTCATAGACATAAAGTTAATAAATAATTTTTTAAGACTAGTCCTGAGGGCAAGAGCAGTGCAGGTAAAGAGACCTGAGTTTGTCTTCTTTCTCTCTTTGGCGGTAGCCTTTACGGAGGTTGTACTTCCGCAAGCTTCAAGCATTTAAGGAATCTTCAACAGTTATTATTTCTATAATTTAGACAAAAAGTAACAACTGTGCTTTCACTTGGTACATACCTAACATTAATTCCAATCGAGCAAACATCTTAAATTGAAGTATTCTCGTGTCCAACTGTCTTACTCAATATCATAGCAGTTACGGGACTGTGTACTAAGAGACGTGGTATTAAGCCTCTAAGAACATTCTAGATAGTGGTGTCTTTCTGGAATTAACTACAGTTGTCCCGTGGATTATAAACCCACTGCATGTTCAGTGCATATAAGATGTTTCCTTCTGTCCCTCCACAGTACTGCTGAAGTTGAAATGGAGTGTCCTCTTGTGCTTGGCGTTTGCCTTCAGGTTATGAAGTCCTGGAGTCTACATATAATTTCACATAGAACTTTTCTGTTTAAAAAAAAAAAAGTCTTGAAGGTGCAATAGGAACTCTCTTGTTTTAAAAGTAGTGACTGCCTACTGCTGTCTGGATGGAAGCAGGGAGTGTTGAATTCATACGATGTCCTGCTATTAATCCAGATGCTAAGAGGTTAGTTAATACCTAATCATTTAAAAGATTTGCTTATCCTAGGTAAACAATTTTAAAAAATACATTACTGGAGGTCCTTGAGCTCCAACTTCTCCCAGTTCCCCCTGGTCACCCTCTTCACCCTGAAATGGAACAGAGAGAATCACAATGAATGCTACTCTAGCAAAGGAATCAATCAATATCATATATTGAATAAAGAATACTTTCTATGTAGGCTGGAAAATGTGCCTCGACTGATGAGCTCTGGTTTTGGAGTCTGCTCATCTGATGTGTTACGTCTCACGTGTGTGATGTGTGTTTGGCAGTTTTTTTTAAATTGTCTCTGGGATCTTCTCTCCTGTTATCTAATTGTTGTTTGGACTTTTTGCTATTTTATAAATTCTGATATACTTTAAAATGTTAGAATGGTCTGTAAAAGAAACAGCTTCTGAGGCTGTGGATATAGCCCAATGGTAAGTCATTTGTTGGGCATGCCAAAGCTCTGAGTTCTAATGTCCAGCATTGAGAGAGAGAGAGGGAGGGAAGGAGGGAGGGGGGGGGGGAGAGAGGAGAGAGAGAGAGAGAGAGAGAGAGAGAGAGAGAGAGAGAGAGAGAGATCTGACTTCTACAGTCAGATCTACAATCTTTCTCTTACAGAAAGGCAACTCTACAGATTGAGAAGAAAATATACTTTTTAAAAATTTTTTCACTGTGAGCTTACTCATGAGAAAAATTCCTTACTTATATTGCATATTAAAAACAGTTGTCAGTTAATTATTGATATATATAGTTTATTGGCTCATTTTCTTGCTTATAATTTTATATTACATCTAATATACTATTTATATAAAGATAATATACTTTTATGATAATTTCCATAGATTCCACCTTATGTTTATAAGTTTCTTTCACACACAACAAACACAAGTACACCCAGAAAATTTAACAGCAATATTAATAGATAACATTTAAGCATTTAGTACAAAAAACTAGATTGTCTTTCACTTTACTTTTTTACACTTATTTATTCAGAGGGGGCATGCACATACCACGTGCATCTGTGAAAGTCAAAGAACAACTTACAGGATTTCCTTCTCTCCTGCAAGCACAAGGATTCTGGGGACCAAACTGTGGTAGGCTTGATGCCGACCATCTTTATCCACTGAGCCAACCCACAGGCCCTGGAGCTTAAGATTTAAGTGAATTAGGAAAATCTTACTGGTTTTAATAGCATAATTAAATTCAGATTCTACTAGAACTTAGGATCTAAATTCAGGCTAGTGGAATTACTAGTTCATAGAGTAAATAATCATTAGGTGGGTATTATCAATGATTTGTTTATTTTCTTTTATGTGTATCAACCTCATAAAAATGTGGACAGACACAGTCAACAAGTTAGCAGGCCTACACTAGTGAAAATGGTATGACTATAAAATATTATAAAATTTCCTGAGACACTAGTATGTAGGAAGGAAAATTATTAGGTGTTTATATGATGAAGACATAGTGCCTGTAGGCCAAAAGAGGGCACCAAGTTCCCAGGAAATGGATTGAAGTCCCATGTGAATGCAGGGACCTGAACCAGGGTCCTCTCTGTAAGAGCAACTGGTGTTAACTGCTGACAGAGTTAACATCTCTTTAGTCCCTCGTGAGTATAATTAAATACATACTGCTTGTGTGTCCGGCAGAGCTATCAAGTCACTGCACGAACAACACTGATTGACAGTCCCCTGCAAATTTCCTTATCAGGGTGTGGAATAGTTCTCATAGACTTTTCCATAAAACTTGGAGCAATGAATTAAACATTTTGAATTATACATTTCTCCTGCAGACAAAAAGCTCCCACCTAATCAATAACCGCAAATTTTAAACGACAGGCTTTGGAGAAGCTGTTTATTATCATTTTTACTGAATTTTGAATGGATATTGAAGTGCAGCATAATAATGCCAAGACCATCATCTTGTTAGGATTTCACATGTCACTCTCGTATGCATAGGGAAGTTTTCAAATCTTCGTTAGTTAATGAATAGGATACATTCAAAGCCAGGCTATGGATCTGAATGGGAACGAGAGACCAGGCCCTTCTTCAACACTCCATTGTCCGTTCAGGCTGAGTCCTTTTGTGGTTCAATCATCAATGGCCTACTGTCTTCCTGCCTCCTTATATTAATTTTGAAATATATATTTTGAAAGTCACCACTTAAAGTGTAGGGAGGTACAAAAAATGTCAAATGAACAAAAGGAGTGTTCAGCATCAGTGGACATTTGTTTAATTGCATATTTAAAAAAAATGCAAGTTTCCCACTCAAAGATCAAAAGCAAATTTTAGGTTCCAAAAAACTAATCTGTGGCACCAAAAGTAGTATTTTCATAGGCATAGGGGAGAAACACTCTGATTGACAGCTCTAGCCCTAAGTCCTGTGGGTTAAAGTAGAGACAGCTCTCCAAAAGAAAAGAGTCAACAGCACACAGAGAGATGGATCAAGGCATTGAGATGAACGAAAGTCTCTCTGCTTCAGCACACGCATCTCAAAAGGAGCTCTGGGTCTAATTGGATGCTCTTGCTTGTCTGTTTTTGTGGTGAGCTAGTGTTCTCATATATTAGTATGTCATGTTTCATTTAGTCATTCCCCTGTGATTGATCATTAATTTTGTTCACTTCTGAACTTTCAGAACTTGGAATAAGCCACGGCACAGAGCAGGTCCTTGATAAATATTAACTGAATTTGCCAAATTACAGATTTAAAAGTTGAGCGGAAGAACGGGCATGCAGGGAAACGGGGAGTTCTCCTTTTCTATTTTACTCAAGTTTGACATCAGAAACCCAGCTACGTCATTCCAGATAAATAAAATACCTTTACTATGCACAGCCTTTGTGATAAAAGACCGAAAATAATGGGCAAACTGTAATAGACCACAGAAACTGGCCTATTTATCGTGATTATACAAGTGAGATACTTCAACAGACTGATTTTGGCTGGTGAATTTAAGGACATGAATACAGATATTTTACACAAAAAAATAAATTGCCTCTCCAACTCATTACTGTGGGGAGCAGGAGAAGTAAAGATATATGAACAAACATAGTTAACAAGTTAGCAGGTCTGCACTAATAAAAGTGGCATGACTTTGTTAAATGTTATAAAATTTACTAAGAGAGACTACTATACAGAAAGTAAAATTATTATATATTTATAATATGAAGAAATGGCAGCCATATTGCCTTGCTTTAAGTAAGTTTCCACCTTTTTTGGCAGGGCCTGTCATCCCCGGTGCTGTACAGATGGCACATTTCTATGTAAACAATTACATTTTATCACTAAGGTGCAGCTACTTCGAACCTAAGTTTCAGCAAGATAAGATCAGAAATTAACAGACAAGTTAGTTCGCATCATGAGAACTAGTTCACATCCAAACCAGTTGTCTACCAGATCTTGTGTTTCCTACTCTCAAAGCACTTGTGAAAACTGTACAATTATCATAAGCCTTAGAGAATCAAAGCAACTAGTGACATAATGTTTGTCGCCAGCCTTGATTTTAAGAAAATTTAAATATGATATACTTGAGACGGAAAGAAAATATAGTCAATATGGGAACAAATAGAAAAAAATTCTAGTATTTTCTTTGTCATTTCAACAACTCGACAGCTAAGAGTATTAACCTTAGAATACACCAAGCATTTACTTGACAAAGAGTAAAGTATCACACATTCCTGTTTCTTATAATTCCTTATAGTAGAAATAATCACTTGACCTTAATCGCAACTGACCTACTAAACGCTCTTTCCTTACCTTGTGTCCTTGTCTTCCTGGCTCGCCAATTTCTCCTTTCGCCCCTTTATGGCCCTAACAAATATAAAAATAGATACAAATAAATGAATCTGCTCTGGGCTTGACACCAAAAATGGCCAGAAGGCTCATAAAGTTGCTCTGCCTCTCTAAATCTGTGTTAAAATACTACAAAAGAGATTATGTCACAAAGCTCAATACTGCCTTGGTGGCTTTATAGCACCATCTCCACTACCTGACTGATGTTTATGATAAGCGTCAGCTTTAGGTAAGAGGAGAATTCTCTTCTAGACCAACAGCTACTCTGCTATCCAGCTCAGCAACACAAAGCATTGGTACCTGCCTTCTCTCCCCTGGACCCTGCTGCCTGCCTGGGGTTAGATTCAAGCCTTCAGTCTTCCTCAGCACCGGTAACTTAACCCTTTCAGATGTTAACCCAACTATCCTTTGCTCTCTGGTGACCACTTTGAAACTCCCCACCCCCTACCCCAGCCACCGCCTCTGTAGCCAGCAGCCAGCTCCTTCCTGGTCCCCACCTGTGCCAATGGCACTGGGGGCTGGGAACAGTAGCAACAGGCAGACTATGAGACCAAGTTTACAAATCAGCTCAGCTAGAACTTTGGCCTCTATCTGGTCTTCTGTGCCTAAACCTTCTACAGTCAGGGAATCCACCAAAATGCAGTTAAAGAAAACATTTTGGGAAACCCGTTTGCCTCAGGGCCTTCTAGATCATAACAAAACAGAAGGGTCTGGAGTTTCCCAGAGTGCTTTAGACTCAGAGACTGGTAGGGGAAGCAATTGATCCCCAGGATCTGGTTTTTGGTTTTTTCGATTTGGGTTTTTTTTTTTTCTAAGTAGACTATTTTGAAGTATCATAATGGCAAAGTGGGAGAAAACACCTTCAGAAAAAAAAAAATCTATTCTATACAGTTTTCTTTTTTTTTTTTTAACCAGAACATTGTCAAATTCACAAAGTATATATGCACAGTCTCCCTCCACATCCCTACCACTGTCTTCCCCATAAAAGGCAAACATCTGGCCCTGAACCTCATGTTTAGGTTTCCTGGCCCAACGCATGCTACGGGCATTTCCTTCCTGAACCACAGACATTCTGTAACTACTCATATGCACCTTAGTAGGGGCCCATCTGGGGGCACTAGTTAGAATCTCCAGGCTGAATTCTCTCCACAGACAGAGAAACAAAAGACAGACTTGATTAATCCATCTAAGGTCAGTGGTTAGATGTTCCTCTCTTTCTCTGCATATAACCCTTTTGAGGATAGAATAAATAAACTATTCTTACCCTCATGCCTGGTAGGCCTGGATATCCAGAGCGACCCGGTGGGCAGGAATTGGGGCACTGAGAGAGAGGGGGAGGAGAGAGAGGGGTAAACTAGAGCACCTATTTTGTGGCAAGATGAGATTTTTTTTCAAGGAGTCCAACTATAAAACCCCAAATCAATAATAGTCATTAAATAACCCTAAATATCTCTTTCCTTTGTTTTTCTTTTAAATACAGAAAAGTGCAAAGCATTCAATAGATAGATACTCTGCCATGTGCTCATCTTCCCGGTGTTACGTGTTAATATTTTGTCATATTTATCACAGATTTAATAAAAGAAATGAAATTCTTAATGGTGGATTATACCATGGCTTTGTCTGATTTCTTCCTTCCACATTGAAACAGCCCCATCCTGAGGTCACAGCCTTTCACCATGGGGACCAAAATTACATCAGAGCCGTAAACACCAACATTTGACTACTCGGCTAAACATAAAGCATCTTCCAAAACCGGAACACTCCGGTGAAAAATCACACCAGAGGCATAAAGCCAAAGGATGTAAAAGAAAGACCTTTCTCTAGTGAGAAACCTAACACAGCCTGGGACTACATAAGCTGTCCATCCTCAAGCCCCACATGGCTCTGCAGCGTAAGTTAAAGTGAAACATGGAAGTCTAGTGTATTCCAGTCGGATCATTTTAAAGAGAGAACATCTGAAGACTATGTGGTCTTTAAGTTAAAACTAGTGTCTTGTACACATGTATAAAGCATCATGATTAAACCCATTGTTTCATATTAATATATGCTAATAAGAAAGAATTGCAAGCTGTGTATGTATTAATATGAAAAATCTTACCAATGGGTCTCCATCATGAAATCCAATTGTTCCCTAAAGTAAGTGAAAGACTAAAGTTAAGAATAAAGTAGATGACTTATTCTAACTTATGAACAATAGAAATTTTCAATGTTTGAAACTATAATAAGAATATTAGTTTTAGAAGATACAAGGGAAAAATAGAAACATATATGTTAATGTTTGAAGATTTGATTGATAGGCAATACCTTCAAAGATCCTAACATCTTATCCCTAAATAAGGTATCTAGTTACCTGATATTCAGAGGCTAAATGACTGTCAATACAGACAAAGTAGGACATACTGATAGGTAAATAAAAAAATAGAGCATCATATACTTCAACCATTTTTCTTATTTCTACCATAAAAAACTTAGCAAGAACTAATTTGTCCAAAAATGCTTCTTCTGCATGTCAAAGTTTTGAGCACATAAGAAATCTCAACTATTAAACTGCAAACAAATAAGGTGTCTTCTGGGAAAAACCATCTTTTAGATAACTGTGGTTCCTGTATTGATTCTAAAATGAACCAGGAGAGAGGAGAGGAGAGGAGAGGAGAGGAGAGGAGAGGAGAGGAGAGGA